AATCGTTTTTAAAAAATAGTGCCTAATTAAGACAAAGCCAGCAGCGAGCCCGCTGATTGCATTTCCATGAGGAACTAAACTGATAACTTTTTTTTTTTTTTCTGGAGGAGGAGAAGGAAGCTGAGATGCATTTTCCCTGGTGGGTGTTCACATCTGACAGGTCGCATTATGTCAGTCCGGCACTGAGAGGCGTGGCAGTCTCTGATACTCCTGAAGAGCCAGCGGATTAACCCAGACCCAGACCCAACCCTGACTTCACCATCCCACCTACCCTATCTTTATTTCCAGGATTAACAGACCCTGTCCTTGGCATGCCCCAACCATTACTTTTAAGGTGGGTCTCTGGGCTCTGATTTGTGACCTACTACCCAGCCCAAACTCCTTGAGAGCAAGGATTAAAAGAGAGGGGTCCTGCCCTGGCTGGTATAGCTCAATGGATTGAGCACGGGCCTGTGAAGCAAAGGGTCACTGGTTCGATTCCCAGTCAGGGCACATGCCTGGGTTGCAGGCCAGGTCCTCAGTAGGGGACGCATGAGAGGCAACCACACATTGATATTTCTCTCCCACTCTTTCTCCTTCCCTTCCCCTTTCTCTAAAAATAAATAAATAACATAAAAGAGAGAGAGAGGGGTCCTGCCACACTAAAACCAGCTGCACAGCAAGCATAAGGGGGTGACCCTCTAATCGGATAGGCAGCGGGTGGCAGAGAGAGTTAACATAATCGGTTAGATCCCCCAGGGAGAAGTCCCAAAGGAGTGAAGATTTGGGGGAAGGCCTGGGGTAGGGTGTCTTACAGTCGGGGCTCATGGCTCCCTCAAGGTAAGGAATGTCATGTAGACTTCATTTCTTTTCTGACTCCAACTTGGTTGTGCCTAGGGATCTCAGGCCTCTACATTATGCTAAACAGGTAATCAAACATCTCGCTTTGCTAATTACTGTTCAATCCGATTAAACGCTGCTGAAGCTCATTAACAGAGGTGGAGATAGGGGGAAGTGATGAAGTGGGGCCAACCACAGCTGTGATGGGGGTCTCCCCAGGGGCTCTAGGGGACAGCTGAGAAACAGCCTGGGTAGCAAAGACTCAGTACTTTCCAAAGAAAAGGGGTAGAAGAGTTGTATCAGGAAGACTCTCAGTCTTACTGCATCCTCCCCACCTCAGGCTTCTCCCTCCTCCCAGAACCTTCATTACCCTCAGAACCCAGGCATCCGGCCATTCCCACAGCTCCCCAAACACACCCCTGTCCCAGCTTTAATAAGTTCTGTTCTCTCACAGTCAATATTTGATTTTTCAGAGCCATCTCCACGGAGCGAGGGGAGCTCTTCCCTTGCTTCCCCCCTACCCTGGCCCTCTTTTGCCCACCCCAGTCTCTTTGTGCCCCCCAATCTTCTCTGAACTAGCTGACTTAATGAAATGATATTAAAGTCTTAAGCAACTCCAAAAGAATGGTTGTTATGGTGAGGGGAGTGGGCAGGACGCCTGGGTCCCTGAGGGGAGCAAGGGCTAAGGAGGGGGAGAGTGAGCCCGAGGCTAAGGTCTGGATGCCCCAGTCCCTGATGGGGAGCAACAGATTTGAGGTGAGCTGGGGGCCAGACCTCTGGATCTTGGTGGGAAGCTAGGATTGAGGGCTGGGGGCAAGGAAAAGGTGGGAGGAGAGGACATTCAGGAGGTTGAGATCGAAGCCTGCTGTGCAGAGCCTGTCAGGGATGGAGAGGCTAGCTGTGGGGACACGGCCTCTGTGCCAACAGCCTCCCTGCTGACTGTGCCCTGGGACAGTCCCGTGAGAACCAGAAAACATTCCTCTTCATCCCTGACTCATCCCTCTTCTCCCTTAACCACCCCCCAGCAGACCCCCACAGGTGATTTGTAGCTGATGCTCTCATGTGGGTAGGAGCCAGGAGAGAGTCATTCCATGACAGGAAGAGCCGAGAGCTTCCAGGAAAAGAGAGCATAGAGGCCAAGAGATGAGAAGCCAAGCACCACCCCCACCTCCCCCCACCCATCCCCACCTCAGTCCCCTGGGGACCCTGGCCCAGCCCCAGTCCCCTTGGGGTGGTGGGAATGCAAGGACATTTGGCTAGGGCTGATTGATGAGGGAGGAGGCAGCCACTGGGCACTGAGGCTGCTGTTTGCTGAGCACACAGATTCCTCCCCACTCACCAGCTGCTGCCCCCTGAGAGGCTGCTCGATCTCACCCCCACCACCACCATCCTCTGGGGTTGGAGGGAGCTGATGCCTAAGTTTCTGATGGCAGTTGGGGGAAGTGGAAGGACCAGGACACCAAATGCTTCAATTCCCTGTGAGAAGCAGGGGTACCTGGAACCTGGTCCCCACAGAACTCCCTTCAGGACTTCACTTTCCTTGCTACCTTCCAAACTTCACTTCTGCCTAACTTTGACTCCCATTTATACTGGATCCTTTTTCCTACCTCCATCCAATTCTCTGAGTCTATCTCAGCCAGCCCCAGCCTTCAAACTGCCCTGCAACATTTCTCCCACTCTGCCTACAGATCCAGAAACTCTCCCTGGAGGAGGGGGTACCCCACTTTTGTGATTGCCCATGTTGCCCCTTAGGACACTTCATTTTTAATTCTCACTGAAATTCTACTTATATAAATAATTCCCCATCAGAAATTCCCACTGCAACTCTTTGCTCTATTCTTAAAACCCCCAACATAATTCACATACACAAACACAAACACCTCAACCTCATTTATAACCTGCTTGTGTTTTGGAAGGATGGCAAATCTGTGCTTCTGTATGCAGCACAGCCCCCAGGACAGCCTCAATCCTGTGATGTTAGGATGGGGGCAACTTTTGCTTCTGTGGTCCCCAGGCCTCTCAGTTTCTATACTTCCGTTGTACCTGCCAACTCTGATTCTGCACCAGCAGCCATACCACAACTCCCAAGTTCAGATCACCTTCCCTGCCCCCCCAGAACTTAAAATTTAGTTGAAGAAAATACATCTTGCATATACATGGGAAACAAAGGGGGGGGGATAGAAGATTGAGTGAGATCAACTCCCTAAATGTGGATTCTAGACCCTAAGTGGCCTACAGGCAGGGGAAAGAACAGGACACGCCCGGGTTGTACCTGAAGTTGTGATCCATCCCTTCTAGCTATTTCCAAACATGTGGAGATTTCACCTCAGTGCTTTGCACTTCTCCCTCTGTTGGGTAGCCCTTCCTCATATTGCATGGATTACTCCACATATTTCAGGGTCTTCATTAAATGTCACCTCTCCAGAGACCTTCCTGACCTAATGTAAAGCATCTCCTTGTTACTCTTCATCCTCTTCAGCCTGTTACTCTGTTTTGTTTACATTATTTATCATCACCAGAAATTCTATTATGTTGTTCCCCACCAAAATGTGGACTTCATGAAAGCAGGGACTTTCCTTATTCAGTACTTGAAACAAAATAGACACTTAATATGATGTTAAGTGAATGAGTGAACCTAAGAACCAACAAATGAATATCTTCTTGCCTTTCTATTCACTTTGTTTTGTTACTGTAGGAATGTCTTCATGTATTTATCCTCAGAAAGTGAATAGGATGGCATGGGTTGTTCTATATGAGAATCACCAGCACTTTCAAATAGCTCTAAAGATACAAAGTCACTACATGCATGGAATCCCATGTCTTGTGTTGTTAATGTTGGGGGGGGGTCTACAGATACCAGTGCTCCGAGGGGGTGTATCCCAGGGTGCTATGTAGAATTCACTGTTTCTCTCCCCAGCTGTGCTTCTGTCCCCAGGTGTCTTCCTGTCTCTCAGCATGTTATGATGTCTTCACTTTGGTGAGGTGTTTGTCACGGAGAATGTTTACCCCCCACTCTCTTTCTTCTTGTCTCCACCTATGTCTCTAGATGTGTGTATAGGGGGAGTCTCCCTCAGCTGCCTTGTCCCCTCTCACACACAGCCCTGCCCGAGTCTTGGACCCCTCCCTTTCTCACTGGGCCCTGTTGCTGGGCTCTGGGTTGCTATAGTGACGGTTGCCAAGTCCCTGAGGCTGATAGCCAGCGATGGGGCTGTCGGCTTCATCCACAAGGGAAGCTGAGGGGGGCTTCCCATTGTGTGAAGAAGGGGATGTTGCTATGACAACAAACCCCCACTAAGGGGCAAGGGACCAGCCCTTCCACCGCCCCTCAAGCCTCCCCACCTTGGGCAGCTGCAATGAGGGCTTAGAAGGCAAGAGTACATTCTAGACAGCCCAGCACCTGGCCTCCCAGTTTTCAACCTCCTTCCTATAGTGCCTGCACCTCTCAGGATCCAGGCATCTCACTCAGACAGGGGAAGGAGCAGGGGACCTACTGGACAGAGGAGGGGCAGGAGGACCCCTTGACCTCCAGGCAGATGGGAGACAGCAGGAGAGAATGTAGAGTCAGGAGAGGGGCGGGTAGGGCAGAGGTTGTGACCCCTGCCAACCAGCTCCAACGATGCCCCTGATGATGCTCCTGACAGGCTGCTTTTGTGGTTGGAGAATGGAGCTGGGTCTCGGGGGTTGGGCACCTTGGTTCTTTAAGGGAAAAGAGCCTAGGTTGTGCGTACAGGGAGCCAGGAGAGGAGCTTTAGTCTTCTGGGCAGCCACACCTCTTCTCCTCAAAGTAAAACACCCAGTCAGAGGTGTCTTAGGCAGAGATGGTGAATAGACTGTTTTTTTCTACTTTGTTTCTATGATTTGCCTTGTCTCCAGTGCTTTTTAGCAATGGACACTCAGGCTTTCCCCACGTGTGAACTTACATTCACATACATTCCCATTGGATGTATTAGCAACTGTCCCTCCTGCTTGGGTTCCTCTCTGCCTGCCAGAGAAGGCCTTCCATGGCCTTCTCACTCAGCACATTGCCCCCTCCCCCAAGGCACTGCCCACCTCACCCTTCCAACCCAACCTTCTCACTATCATCCCTCCCTTTGGTTTCATTCAATCCAACCCTCAGCTTGAAAGCCATTCTATCCACCAGTTCTTCCCAATTCGTGTCCAGTCATTCTCCAGCCTTCTCATTAACTTTTTAAGTTTTTTATTCTTTTTTTGGTTTTTGTTCTTCAAATTTCCCTTTTACAGTAAAACTATTGAGGTGACAGCCACACCCTGCCACCTCCCCCATGGCAATAGCAACTTCCTGTTCGTTCCCTGGATGGAGCAATTAGAAAAATCAGGAAGGAGCTGAGAAAGCTGGGAACTACACCAGAGAGATGACTTGACCTCTGGTGTACTAAGCAACTATGTGGCTGGTGGTGATTGAGGTGGCCAACTTGGTGCCCAAGGGCAGCTCTGGTTTAATGAAAGTGAGCTGGGAGGAAACTGAGGCAACATCCAGTTGTGTACTAGAGGGCAGGAAAAGGTATAAGGTTGTAACTATGGAAACAGTTGGCAGTTGCTAAGTGCCACTGTCACCTAAACCAGTCAGTGGGCCACCATTTTGGTCACTAAGAAGGGAGCTGTGTTGAATTTGAAGAGAATAGGAAATGGAGGATGTGATTAACAAGATAGCCATCTGGGATACTGGGGGACGACACATGGGGTAGTCCTATTGAATAACAGAGCTTATATTGGAATATGGAAAGGGAAGAAGAACAAGACAAATTGGACCTGCCACAGCAGATGGCAGTCATCTTAGCTGTCTTAAAAGCAGCACAGAGAACAAAGGAAGGAGGGTCCTGGGAAGTGCCACTGAATACTAGGAAAATCCTCCTCAGTCCATCCAATCTTCTTACAGTCGGTAAGTTCCAGCTTCCTCCGGAAATAGGAAGCTCTTCCTGCCCCGCCACCCTCTTCCACAGAGTAAGAACCATCCACTGCCCTCCCCCCAAAACCCCAGACTAAGTCACTTGAGTTCCAGCCAGACCACTTCCTGTTTCAGAAGTACTACTTCCTGTCCTGGATGAAGGCACTTCCAGTTCCTGCTGTACTGCTTCTGCCACTTCCCAGGCCACTTCTGTCCAGACCTGGTGACTTCTTATCTGGAGCAAGCCACTTCCTGTCCCAAGTGACCCATTCGGCATCAGACCAAGTCCATATGTGTCCCAACTGGTTCGTATCTTGCTATTGGCCACTGGACAAAACAGGACACTTCTCATGGTAGCTGTCATGACCCAACCACCCCAAATGGCTGGAGTAAGTACGTAGAGGCCTGGGGCAGGGCAGAGAAGGTGGCCCTGCTGCCCATGCCCTGAGCTGGAGTGGAGAGCCAGAGCCTTTCCCATAAGGCCCCCATTTTTGGCAGACTCAGGGGAGTAGTTGATAAGAGGTCAGAAGAGGGAGCTGAGAGAAGAGCTTTGATGTCCCCACCCAGGAGATGGGGGAGGCACAGGGTAAGAAGCCAAGAGGATAAAAGGAGATGTAGGGAGGAGGATGCTAGGGAAGAGGAACAGACCTAGAGACAGAAGAGAGAAAGAGAATGAGAGAGAGAAGAGAAGAGAAAAACAGTGAGAGGCAGAAGGAAAGAAGTGCCAAGCAAAAGACAGACTGTTCCCGCCCCTAGCTCTCAAGTGGGTGAGGGGAGCAAGGATCCCTGGGTCACAGTCAGAAGAGGTGGCTGAGTCTCTGCCTCATTCCCAAGGGAATAGGACCCAGGACCACAGAGAGGGGCACGCATGGCCAACCACAGGGCAGGAAATGGTTCGGTGAAAATCTTAAGGAATGCTACAAGTAGAGGAGAGGGTAACAGCCAGGAGGGGCAAAGAAACTGGTGGGGCAAAGGGGGCCAAGGGGGCCAAGGGGATGCTAGAAGTGTCCCTCCAACTACAAATTACACTGGAGGACCACCACAAGAAGGGCTGGATCCAAGAGAGCCAGGTGAGAGAGCCCTCATACTTTGTAGTAGATGTTTGGAGGGCTCTGGGGAGGCCCGTCCTGTACGATGTACACAGGATGCCCATAGTCACCGCTCACCTTCTCATAGTGGGGACAGAAGGGGGGGTCTGCAGCCCCACTGCCCCGAAGGGCTATCCCTAGTTCCCCAGGGTCAGTCTCCCTAGGTCCCATCCCACCTCCACCCCCAAGACCCAGAGACCCTCCCCTCCCAAAGGAGCCAGGACCAGGGTGGCGACTCTCCGAAGGCTTGGCCCGCCGTCTCCGCCAACACATGGCACCCCCAGCCCCTGCCACGCCCAGCAAGAGCAGCACCAGCCCCCCTGCTGCCCCGGCTACTGCGGGCATGCTGGGAGGGGGCAGGGGGCCTTCAGCACCCCGGGAGGTTGCATTGCTGGTGGGGTCACCTGGCAGGGAAGGGGTGAAGGAGGAAAGAGGGGGAGGGGCTGAAGGAGCCACCTAGGCATCTGAACAGCCAGCTTTGGGGGTCCCCATGGGCTTCCTCAGCAGTGCCCAGGACCCTTGGGGACCCCACCTCCCTTCCACCCCTCTAAGCCCAGCTCAGAATCCAGGTGTGTCCAGCCCTTCAGCTCTGTGCCAAAGAGTCCCCCCACCCCGCACTTCTCTGACAGCACTGATTGAAGCGCTGACTTGGCTAATTAGTTCTAATTGAGTCTTTTCCTCATTTGGCTTCCATTTCCCTCCCACCCTCCCATCCTCTTTTCTCCTCTTTCCTGTATCATCCCCCCAACCCCATAAAAAAAAAAAAAAAAAAAAAAAAAACTAAAGAGGGAGGGAGAGGGCGAAGGCAAGGCAGCTGGGATCCAAGAGCAGAGAAGGCTGGGGAAGGGAAGAGGCTGAACCCCTGGTTCCTACCTGGCATACTCTCCTTCCCAGGCTCTAGGCTGTGGGCTGCCCCTTGGTCTCTTTCCATGGGCATTTCAGACACAGGCTTTCGGGGGGCAGCCCCTCCTCTGGGACCTGGAGGTAGGGAAGACCCAGGAGAAAGCAGCTGAGACAGTGGCCCCCTGACCTTGATGGTACTGCCCCAACCTCCCTTGGCTTCTAAGAGATGCGCCCAAACCCCACTCACTTTGTCCCACTCGGAGAAGAACCTTCATGCCTCGGGTAAGGCACACACCACCCTGCAAGCTCTCCAGGCCTTCCCGGGTCCCATCTGATGTGGCTGGGAGAAAAAAGCCAGAGGGAGAAGTTGGCACCCCAAAGTCTAGCCTCAACCCTGTCTCCATGCCCTGGCCCCAACACCACCCGAGGGTATAAGGGATGTCTCTTGCCTCTGGGGGCCCCTCCTTCATCCGCCCTCCATCCCAGGAGCACTTCCCCACTCAACCTGCCCTCTGCCCAACATTACCAATTATGTAGTAATCATGGTGCGAGCGGAACTCGTGACCCCAAAGATTAGGGCTATACTCCTGGAACTTGATGGTGAAGCGGAGATCCAGGTCTGGCCGGTCACAAGTGAGAAGAAGGTTTGGGGCAGGGGGTGCCTCACAGCGCTGGCCCTGGGCACCCCCTACCAGATACAGCTTGTAGAACTCATAATTAGGAGAGGAGTGGGGGCCAGGAGGCCGGGCCCGGGGACAAAGCAGATCTAGCCGGTCCCCAATCTGAGGGTAGAGCACGTAACCACCCTCTGCCTGGAACCTACGAGGAGGTCAAGGTGAACAAGGGGGAGAAGTGTCAGAGGTCTGGCCCCCAGAGCTTCACTTCCCTCATCCCACATCCCTGCAGAACAGCCTTTGTCTGACTGAAAAGTCTATTCTGATAGAGCAGGCACTAAGGACTCTGTAAGCTCACGCTGGAAGCAGCAGGAAGCCGGGCTCAGAGGTCTCCTGCCCCTTGGTGTGCCCAAATGCACTCTTCAGCCTGCCCTCACCACATGCACACTGCCATCTCTCCCTTCATCATCAGCTCTGTTGCCTTGGCAACAGGATGCCAGTTACCAAGGAGCTGGCCTCTCTGGAACCACACAGCCCACCCCTCCCAGGTGATTTCACTATTCCTTGGCAGGCAACCATGGGGGCAGAGCCTCCCCTCCCCCAGGCCACCACCAAATTTCAGAGATTTCAGGGCAAAGGTTGGGGGGCAGGGGGGGGTGTGATCCAGCCCAATGCCCCAAGTTAACCAGGCAATGTGACAGGAGGCAAATGCTTGGTCTGGCAATGGCCCTAAATGGGGCTAATAGGAACCAGGGTCTGGGGGCCAGCTGCCCAACATTTCCTTACTTGGCACATCTTGTCCCCCCCAACCCCCAGGTCTCAGACTCTATTGAAAGTGCCCCATTGCTATGAAATTGAAGGAGTTGACTTTTCTAACCACAGCCAACACAAGCCCCCATCTCCCTCTGCTCAGCCATCCACTGGCCCAGCACAGCTGATACCTGCCAAAGACTGAAGCACCTCTCTCTGCATGAATGGCAGACAGGGTCTCAGAACTGGATCCCAGGAGACTGCTGCTCTGTCTGTATCTTCTGAGATTCTCAAATGACCCACTCTCTCCCACCCCGCCTCCAAAGAGCCTCCAGAACACCCCAATTCCCTTTCCTCCACTCTAGTAGAATAAGCCTAATGTCCTCAAACTGTACCAGATAAACTGCAGCTGGGAGTTGGTGGATAGGAGACTGAGTAGAGAAAAGACAGTTGAGATTATACCCACAGAGATATGGGAGGGAGACCAGAACAGGGCATGTGAGGGAGGCTGTGAAGTACACAGAGGAAGAGCAATAATCCTAGTGTTCCTTTCATAAATACATATGTTCCAACATCTTACCTCGAATCCTCGTAAAAGCTGTAAGGATTGAGGATACCAAATCAGAAAGGTCAAGTAACGTGCCCTAGGCCACACAGCTCAAAGCACTGAGCTTAGATTAAGACTTTAGGATTTGATGAGCTCCAAAGTCCACCCTCTTCCCAGGGCTCCACACAGCCCCTGCAGGGAGGTAGGAACTTTTCAAAACACAGAACTCTTTTGCTAATGGGGAATGAGATCTGCATGGAGGCAAGGGTCCCAGATGACCTCCCAGAAGGGTTCTGTCCTTCCCTCTGTGGCTTGACGTTTCATCTGACCCCTGGCCTTTTTTTGGAGCAAAGCAAGCATGCCACAGAACAGAGGGCCTAATGGGAGAGTCTGCAGCAAAGATGGGGGAGGGGGCAACTGAGTTCTTGGGACTCCAGATGCAAGAGGGCAAAAGAAGGGCTTTATGGGGCTCCAGGCTTCTTGCAGAAAGAAGTCCCCAAGCCATAAATGGAGGACTATCATCTGGTTGGGAAACTGTTCCACCAAGGGCTGTGTGCAAGAGTTGGGAAACAGACTGTGTGAAGAGTCAAGAAGCCTTGGGGGAGTTGTCCCCAAACTGAGCCCCCTTCCTTCCCATCTCCACCAGAGTCCCTTCTGGGGCGGGAGGCACCCTGCCTTTCCCTTCAACGCTTCAGCAGCACCTACTCAGCTGCTCTCCTGAGAGCTGACACTAACCAGGCTCCCTCCAAGCCCAGCCCCCAACACCATGCAAGTCTCCCACAAACCCCCATAACTACTCCACTGCCCTCCCGGCTCCCCGTGAACTTTCAGATCCTTGCCCTTTGGGGTCCTTCAAACTCCCAACACCTGGATATCACCACCCACATTTAGCTCTGTTTGCGACCCAGGAATCTGGCTCCCAAGATCACCTCTGTCTAGTAACCCATCAGCTGCCGGCAGAGCACTAGCTACCTCCCTCCAGCCTCCTCCTAGCTTAGCGAACTCAACCCCCGAGTCCCCAAACCTTCCATACTCCTACTGGGAGGGTGTAGGGTCTCCCCAGCCCGGATCGCTCACCTCTTATTCGCCGAATTCCAGTAGACAGGCTCCAGGCTGAGCCCAGACACCAGCCCCCCAAAACCGAGCAGCAGCAGGGCCCCGACTCGTACACCCCCCGGCCTAAATTGGGGGGCCCCCATGACCCCGCCAAGGCCTGGGGGGCGGGGCACCAACTCCCCTAAAGTCGCTCACCCCCTGGGGTGACTGCCTTAGCTGTCTGGCTTTTCTGCCCCGACCTCCCGGGTGGCTGACACCCCCCGCTCGCACGCGGACCTGCTTCCTGCTCTGCCTGTGCCCCGCGCTGGAGCGCTCAGCCCTCAGGAGCCCTTCTAGGGGCAGTCTGCAGGCTTCCTACGTCCCAGCCCAGGCTCAGCACCTCGGGATTAGTGAGCGGGCCTAAATCGTGGACTGAAGGAGCCAGGGACCCGGCGGAGGTGGCATGGAGCACCGGACAAGGGAGCGAAAAAGGGGGCGCCAAACCGGAGCCCCAGCCTCGCCGGGATTGAGGGCAGCGGGCTAAGGGAGGAAACCAGTCCCGAGCCCGGGAGGGGGAGTTAAAGGAGAGGCGGGGAGGGGGAGAGGATGGCGGAGGGAAAAACCGGAGCTGGAGCTCGAGAGGGAGCGGGCGGCAGGATCCCGCAGCCCACGCCCCCACACCTCCCTCGCCCGGCGCACCTCCCGCCGCCTTGCTCCCTGGCGCGGTCTCTCACGCCCCCTTTGTCTTTGCGACTCCCGTCTCAGGCTTAGTTTCTGCCCGTCTGCCCTCCAGCCCTCGCGTCTCCCGAGCGCTAGGAATCTGCGTCTCAGATCCAGAAAGGTTCGTCTCTTCTCCACCCCAGGAACCCAGCCCCTTTCGCTCCCGCAGCCTCCGCCTCCTGCATCCCAAAACAACACCGCTGCTCCCGAGCGGTCTGTAGAGAATGATAACCTTGAAGGCTTCGCACTTCACCAAGTGCGCTGAGTGATCATCACGACCACCTGTGAGGTGGGAGGGGGGCCGAGCTAAAGGATCCCCATCGAAGTGAAAAAGAAACTGAGGCTCAGGGGGGTCCCGGGACTTGCCCAAGGTCATAGAGTGTCTAGGATAATGCCAGAAAGCAAACCCAGGTTACTGAACTCCCCACTCATTGCCAGTCTTCTCCTGTATCCTTTACTGTTATCTAGGGTTGGGTGAAAAGCAAGAGATTAGGGGGTAAACTTGGGCCCTTCTTTGATGGTTATGGGGAGAAATGAGGCTGAGAGAGGAAAGGGAGTACCTACAACCCCAAACCCACATTCAGCTGTAAGGGCTGTTTCCAATTATCCTTGGGGAAGGGAGGGGCATGCCTTTTCTGGGTGTAAGAACCCTAGCTTTCAGCACCTCTGGGCAGAGGTGACATTCCTCTCCCCTGTTAAGCTGTCACAGGCCTCCAGTCCCTTCCCTTCCATTCTGAGGTCCAAAAGCAAATCCCCTGCTGACAGTATCTCTTCAGCACTCCCCTTCACAGGGTTTGGCAAGGTGTGTGCGGGGGGAGGAGCTGCAGCTGGAAATAACATACTCCCCCGCCACCCCCAAAGAGCAGATAAATGGAGAAACAACACCAGTGAGGAGTGCTGTATCAAAGACTCGCCCTTGTCCTGTATCTAATTGGGAATACAGACTGTGATGTCTGTGTCTTTAAACCCCTTTAGTCTTTTAAAGTGTGTCCTTGACTCTGGCTACTAAGTCACCTGCCTCCTGAGGGAGTCCAGGGTCGGGAAGAGGGGTGCTTCTGCTCCCCTCCCCCAGAGCTGAGTAATGGTCTCTCTGCTGCTTGATGATGGTAAACAGTGTTGAGCCAGAGAGCAGGTGTCTCGTCTGCCACTGTCTGCACAGTCTGACACACAGCTCCTACCACTCCTACCACGATCACTTCGACCCCTGCCACCCACCTTGGGAGTGAGATTTCAAACAGGTTCCCCCCTTCAGTTTACCAAGTTGCCTAGCAACCAACCAGTCCTTGGTATGAAGCCCCACCCCCACTCGACTTCACACCAAGCTCAGTAGTCCCATTGGTTTCTGCCTAGTCCCACCTCTCAACCCTGGTTTCAGGAACAGTATGCCAGTCCCCACTGCTGCTGGACAAGGGAGCCCACTAATACCCCTCCCCAATCACCCTCTCCATCATTTGCCTCCCCAAACAAACACAAAGACTCTAGTATCATATAAAATGTTTTTATATAAACTCACCTCCACCTCCCTTTGTCCCTCCCTGTCCCTTCTCACCCTGGTGAGTATCAGGGATACTGGTGTCTGGGGTCCCCCCACACCACCAGAGCTGAAGCTGACATTCAAGGTGGATGTGGCGCATAGAGAGCAGGGGAAGGTCTATCTCCTGCTCCCCCTCGTCTCCACTCTCTGTAGGCTCCGGAAACACACGCTGACCAGAAGCAGTGGCCAGCAGAGGCAGGCTAGGGTGCAAGCTGGAAGGAGAAACGGGCAGGGTCGGTCAACACCCTGAGAAAGGATGCTTGCTCCCTCAGCAATCCACTGCCCTCTCCAACCCGAGCCCCAAGATCTGTGGAATTAACAGATAACCTCACTCCATTGGTGCAGTCCTTCTGGGGCAAAAAACTCAGCACTGGCTCCGGCTTCCTCTCATGCCCAGCCCCGCCAGTGTCCCACACAGAGACAGCCCCGCTAGTACTGCCGCTCACAAGGAATTGCCCAGTCCTGGGGGAGAGAGCAGAGGCTTGCTGGCATGGAGTCAGGAATTCCTTGCCCAGCCTCTGGGGCAGGAATTCCTCATACCCAGAGGCTGGGACCTGGGTTACAGCTGGGCATCCCTGTAGGCACTTGGGCCCTAGGCAGGAAGGACCCACGGTCACTCACGAGTCCAGGTCAAAGTAGATGCGCTGATTTGTGGTCACCTCACGACTCAGGGTCCACAGTGGATGACCAGGCTGCCGGAGATCCCAGCATAGAAGCTCAGAATCCTGAAGACACAGGGCAAGGGCCTGGAGTCCTCCCTTCTCTACCCCTAACCCCCCAGACATCCCCACTTCCCTCAAGGTTTACAGGCGCTCCTTTAGCTTGGGTTGAGTTTTTTCCCATGTCTAACCCCCATGTGTCAGATTACGTCCCCACTCCTGACGACTACCCTTTGGGAGCTTAGGACATGACTCCTACCTTTCGGGCTCCTGAAAAGAAGCGATTGCCATCAGGGTGAAAGCAGAGGTGGGTGATGCCCCCTTTGTGGCCTCCCAGCAAGGCAAGAGGGGAGCCATCATCCCAGGCGTACAGACCCAAGGAACAGCCATAAGAGCCACAGGCATAGAGGGGCTGGGTTGGGCTGAAGGAGATGCAGGAGATGATGCCACTCTGGCCCTGCTTTTTTGCTAGAAAGAGAAGGAACGAAGTGGGGGAGGGGCAACAGCACCTGACATTAATGAGGCTAATCAGAGGTATACCTCTGTCTCTTGTCCCAGGATTCAATGTCTCCCCTGCCCCATTTGTTACAAGGAACATGAAGACCTCTAACACTCCCCAGATCCTTCTATCCCTCAAAGAATTTACATGCCTAAGACCTGCTTTTTCCCTCTCAAATCTACCTTTCTTGGCAGGAATGGAAAGCTGAAGGCTTATAGGAAAATAGAATCAGATTCACCTACTACTTCCTAAAGATACTAAGATTTTGGAGACCAAAAGGTACACAGCTGACAGGGACTAGGCTTGGAGTAAACTAGCTCTTTACCCAGCAGGCTGGCCTTGGGAAAAGTTACATCTCCCTGAGTCTGTTTTCTCCTCTGCACACTAGGCACTACTGGTCTCCCAAGACTGTACAGAGGAGGATGTGACCCTCCCCCACATGTGGTCCCCTGGCTCACACAAGTCCCCTCTACACATGGCAGTGACCTTTTCTTTCTTCCTCTCTTAAAAGCACAGATGCTTACCAAACGTAGCTCGGACCTCACAGTCACGGCCAGGCCGGGCTGTGGAAAAGACACGCACAGTCCGGTTGAAGCCACAGAAGAGCTGGGAGCCATCCGGGGAGAAGCAAAGCGAGTGGGCTGCTGTCAGCTCATCCTGGAGAGAGGAAAGAGCTGAAAACAGGCCTAGTAAAACCTTAGCTGTCCTGAAGGAAGGAAAGCTGGGCCAGGATGGGCCTGTGGCTGGACGGAGGTTCCTACCAAGTGGTTGTAGGCACGAAAGGAAGCCCGAAGCTCTCCAGTGAATGCATCCCAGATGTGAATTGGGTTCTCCCGGCTGCTGCTGGCCACACTGAGAGAAACAAGGATACTGAGACTTCGGTGCTGTCAAAGGGGAGGAAGCCAATTGACCAGCCCTCTCAGCTCACATCTGAAGGGTGCCCCAAGCTTTCCTAGGGGCACCGAAATCCCTAGGCAGCCCTGGACTCTCTCTCAGTAGAGGGTCCCCTTGAAACTGCTGGGGGTAGTAGGGGAGGCAGAGGCCATCACTTACTAGGAAGTATCTGGCTGGGATGAAGACATCAGAGAATACCAGCAGTAATCATAGATGGTGTCACCTTCCACCATCCGAAGGACAGGGACCTGGACAGAGATGGAATGCCTGGGTTACCAGCAGGGAAAGGAGGCAGACTCAGATCTCCAGCAGTTTAATGGTGGAGGGAGATCATCTGTCAGCATTTAACCAGGTAGGAGAAGGCAGATGGGGTCAATATGAAAAACAGATTCTTGATCTCAACATTCAAAGGTCAGCTCATACTTTAATGTCATATTTGGGCCAGTGAAAGTCATACATATTCATTCTTTTGCTTTTTAAACACTTAAAGAAAAAATAAATAGCCCAAACCAGAGACGAAGAACCAACCCATAATAAGCATGTTTACTAAGCACCTACTAGATGCCATTTGAGCTTTTAACATAATTAAATAGTTCAAATACCAACAGGGTGCAGAGTGTTAAAAAGAAAACACCCCCTGACTCCTCCACCCAGTTTAAGAAATAAAATATACAAAACAGTTAAAACTTCTTCCTAACAAAACTCCCTCAGAGGTAAACACGATCGTGAACTTACCATTCTCACTAATTTCTTTACGAATATGCGCACACAAAGAAAAACCAACGTACAGCATTGACTTACATGCCTTTAAACTTAATATTAATGGTATCACACTATACACATCTGTTTGTGAGAGTTAACCATGGTGACACATTTAGCTCTAATTCATGTATTTGCACTGCTTTCTCCACTCATCTATCATTTTCTATCGGTAGTCACTGATATTTTTCCATTTTTTAGCTAGTGTGCTTTTTAACATTCTGGTGTACATGCACGAGGGTTTCTCTGTAGTTTCTGCTAAAGAGGAAAATTACTGGGCTCTATGATACGCACTTTGCCAACTCTGCTAGATCATGTCACATTTTTTCCTAAAGGGCCCATCCCAGTCCGCTCTTCCACCAACAGCATGAGCTGGTTGCTCCGCAAGCCTGTTGGTGTTGCCATACTTAAACTGTTCTCAATTTGAAGGCTATGAAATGGTATACATTTGCATTTCCTTCATTACGACTGAGATTAGGTTTTTATCTATTTTTGAGACATTTATCTATGTTAATTAGCAATTTAAGTATGCGTTTTCATAATTTTTATTCATTTTTCTATGAGGTTTTTGTCTTTTTCTTACTGATGTGAAGAAAGAAAGTGGCTGTTTTTTAATCATTTTTTAAATGATTTTACTTATTTATCCAGAGAGAGAAGGGAGGGAGAAAGAGAGGGAGGAAAGCATTGAGAAACACTGATCAGCTGCCCCCATATACATCCTGACCAGGAACTGAACCAGCAATCCAGGCAGGCACATGACCCGATCAGGAATCGAATCAGCAACCCTTCGCCTTGCAGGATACCCAACCAACTGAGCCACACCAGCCAGGGCTTGAAGAAAATCTTTAAATCATCTGGATACCAGTCCTTTGTCGGTTATTTATTTGCTGAACCTGGGGTGATGCCATCCAACCATAACTTCAGTTTCTACTTCTGTACTCGGAACTTCTATATTCAACTGCCTGGTGGAAAGCTCCACGTGGATTTTCCGCAGGCACCTCAAACTCAACTTGTCCTTAAGGGCCCATCACCTGCCACCTTCAAGCCTGCTGTGCCTCCTGGAATCTACAGCCAATTTTTAAGCCTGAAATATGAGCATCAACCTTGATGACAACACCTCTGCCCCCCACTCCTTTCCCACTACAGTCCAAACCCACTTTCATACCTTGCCAATTCTACTTCTTGGTGTTCTCTTGAATCTGTCCAATCCCCTTCATTCCACATGAAGCCACTGCCTTCTTGCTAGCATTTCTCCACAGCTCTACATGTTCTCCGGGCTTTTCTGCACCCCTATACTCCAATCTGCCCACCCATTCTCATTCTCTATACTACAGCCGCATGAAAGCCCTAGAGACGTT